TTCTTTCCAAGTGCATGCCGGCCATGCGCCGATGCTACTACATTGTACTACGAGCGAGCTCCTTCTCGTTCTCTAATTCTCTTCCACCCGCGTTGATGTCGTTGGTTCGCTCCCGTTTCGGCGGCCGCGGGGGGGCGGTCAGCCCAGGAGGGAGGCTGCGGCGCACGGACACTGACGCGCAACGAGACGCTCAGAAGAGACCGAGCCAGCCACTGGCGCGCGGCGGCTTGAACCCGTCGGGGTAGTCGAGCCCCGCCGTCCACGTGAAGCCGTTCGATGTGAAATGGTCGCGCACCGCCACGAAGAGGTGGATGTCGGCGCGGTGCGCCTCGGCGCGCTGCTGCAGCAGGAGGCCGCCTCCGAGCACGGCCGCGCCGATCGCCGCGAGGTAGGCGGCGTAGGTTGCGAGCGCCGCCTCGTCCCGCAGGAAGATCTTCAGCCGCAGCAGCGAGAGCAGGATCGGAGGCGCGCCGAGCAGCAGCATCGCGGGCACCATCTCGGGCGCGCCGGTGAGCTGGAAGTAAAAGATGTTGAGCAAAAAGTAGGCGGCCGAGAAACTGCGCGCGCGCGCCTTCGAGCTGTTCGCCGGCATCGCACCCAACGGTGCCCCCCCCCCCCCCACACACACACACACACACCGCCCCCCACCCTCCCCGCCCCCCCACCCTCCCCTCCCCCCCCACCGCCCTCCCACCCTCCCCCAGGCCCTCTCTTCGCGGCGGCGCTCGAGCGGCTCCTCGTGCGGGAGAGGTGTCTAGCCGAGATCCGGCCGAGATCCGGCCGAGGTGCAGCCGAGATCCAGCCGAGGTGCAAGCCAAGCTTGCGGCACCAGCTGCTGTCCGCGCCTCCCCACGTCGCCGGGCAGTGCGCAGGGGCGCCACTGGCTCGGAATCTAACAATCACAATAGTAACAACGGCGCAGGAGCGGCACTGGCTCGAGTGGAAGCGCGACGGCTGCGCCGCCTTCGACCGGGCCGCCACCGAGGCGGAGAGCGCGCCGCTGGCGGCGGGCGGCGCCAAGAAGCGGCGCAGCGGCGCGGCGGCGCGCGCGGGCGGCAAGCGGCAGCAGCTGGGCAACTCGGAGCTGTCTCGGCTGTGGAACTTGGGCGCGCGGCTCGCGCGCGGGCGGCTTGTTCACAGGCGGGGGCAGTGTGAGGGAGGAGGGGGGCGGTGCGAGTAGGCGACAACTCGCTCGCGTCGATCGCCGCGGAGGGGAACAAGCAGGCGGTGCCGAGCCTGTCTGCGTACCTGCAGCCGCTCGTCGAGCAGCTCGACCCCGAGGCGGGGATCGAGAAGGAGTACCTGCTCACCAACGACAAGGTCTGGATGTGGAAGGCGTTGCGCCTGATGAGCAAGAAGGACGTCTCCCTCCTCGGCAAGATCTCGGCGCAGGGAGGGTCGATGGAGGCGGCCGTCAACCACTTTGTCGAGAAGCAGAAGGGCAACGCCGGCGGCGAGGAGGGCGGAGAGGCCACCGCGATGGAGACCGAGTGACCGGGTGGCGCACCGCGAGGGGCCGGTGGCTCTGACTCGAGCTCCACCCACGACTTGCCACGACCTCTCGGCCGCCGTCGGCGCACACGGCGGTCGCGGGGGGCGGGGGGGCTCATAAAACTATCCCCGACCCACTTGGAACTCCAGTACAGAGCGCCTTTTTGGCTCCAGACTCGGCTGTATGTTCGGTAAGCGCTTAAATTTCGTAGCGTCGTCCGCGCTCCACGCGCGCGACAAGCTGAGCTCTCTTGGAGCGCGGGAGCCAGGGACGGGGCGCGCGCGCGGCGCGCGCGCGCGCCGTGAGCGTGTGAGAACACCCGCCCTGAACGCAGTACTATAGATTTGAATCCGATCATCTCCGCGCTCTCCGCTGCGCCACGGTCCTCAAGGTGCCGATGACGCCTGCCAGGCAGGCCCAGCGGGCTGCTACACCAGCAGCCTTTCCGACGGAGCTCTCCCAGCCCACGTATGACTGTGCAGCGGCTGGCAGCAAGCCTGTCGCCACTGTGAGCAGCCCGAGGACTGCTCCGATGCGCAAGCGTTTGTCGAGTGAGCCGAGCCGCGGGAACGGCCACCGCTGCGAAGGCGAGGCACGCGGGTGGTGCACGTGAAGCGCCGAGGTAATCGCATGTCTTTGGAGCAGCGCGACGACGACGCGGCCGCAGAGCATGAGGATCGCGGTGGAGATGAGGACGGCACCAGCGTAGTCCATGCCTCCGAATTGAAGTCTCTCGTGGCCCCAGAGCTCCAGGGGCCGTGGCGGCCTGGGCGCTGGCGTCTTTCCCTGAGAGTTCCTGAGGGTTTCCCGGGAATGAAAGTTAAACGCGTCCCAGCGCTTAGCCCGCTCTTTCTGGTTACTGTTTTCTTTCTTTCTTTCTTTCTTTCTGGTTAAAGATGCGCTGCAGGCATATTCAAGATGCGTTGCGTTTTCCCTATTGAAAGTCGCGACAAATGTCCCTCGTCCAGCCTGCAGCATGGCGAGGCGCGAGAGCGCAACGCGGTCGCGGTGGCGCACCGAGAGGGGCCGCCTGGCCACCGCTGCCACGGCGCCGCACGGACTTCACCCACTTTCGCGACTGTGGCCATCCAACAGTCTGCCGGCGCGGCGGGCGCATTCGAATGCGCCGGCCGCGCCGGCAGACTGCCAGTGCTTGCTATCCCGGGCGCACGTCAGCCGCGAGGACAGCGCTGCATCGCCGCCACAGCAACGCCTCCCCCGCGTGGCCGCCGCCAGCAATGCCGCCGCCAGCCGCCGCATCCAGCCGCCGCCGCCAGCTGCCGCCAGCACTGCAGCGACAGCTCTCTGCTGCCCAGGCGCCGCCGCGGCCACGAGTGTCACCGCCACGTCCCACGAGTGCCACCGCCGTCAGCGTCGCCATGGCCACTGCCGCCGCCAGGGGGGCGAGAGAGGGGCTCCATATGTGTGTATGAGGTGTGTGTCTGGAGACTGTCGCTTCCTGTACAGGAAACGCAGGTATTTCGAATAGCAAACGCGCTTATACTTGCAGGGCATCTTTAAAAAGAAACAGTGCGCTTCGCCGATGAGACCGCCATGGCCATGTTTTCGCCCGGCGGTGATGCTCCTGAGTGCTGCCGCCTCTACGAGTGCGTTGTTCGCACGTGCGCCAACGATGGCGGACGCGATGCCGCCGCGAGCGCGTGCGCCAACGATGGACGCCACCTCGTCCGCTCGCGGCGAGCTGTGCAGCGTGCTCCTGATGGACGACGGCTTCAACATGCGGGAATACGTGGCGCGGGTGCTGATGATGGTGTGCGAGCTCTCCGAATCGGAGGCGGATCGCTTGATGATGCAGGCCCATTGGGAGTACAGCTCGGTCGTGGGCACGTGGGAGCGGCCTGTCGCGCAGCACATTTGCGACGGGTTGAAGCAGGCCGGCCTGCATGCGGCCATCCAGCCAGAATCTGCCATCCAGACCGATTCCGACGAGCCGTCTTGATGCTGCTCGTCGGCTGGTTGGCGGGCCCTGCTGCTGGGCTTGTGGGCTGCCCTCCCGCCCGCGTCCCGCTCCTTCGCGCCTCTGGCCCGAGGTGCCTCTCCGAGGGAGGCGAGGTGAGCCGGAGAATCTCGCCAAGCATGCCAGGCCTCTCTGGTGCCGCCGAGGAGGCGGAGGGCCGCGAGGATGCGCTCCGGGCGAGGCTCAAGCAGGCGCTGGCAGGTGGAGGCGGGTCGCTGCGCGAGGCGCTCCTGGGCGGCGGCGGTGTGTCCTCTCCGCCTCTGGCCGCCGCCCTCCGCCCGCTGATTGGGCAGCCGCTCGCGACGCGAGTCGCAGAGCTCGCTGAGCAAACGGAGGGCGCTGCCCCGCCGCGCCCGCTCGGCGAGTTTGAGTCGCGAGCCGCCTCGCTGATGGCTGCGGGCCGCTGGATCGAGGCGCACGACGTGGTGGAGGGGCTCCTGCTCGAGGCGAGCGGAGGAGGCCACTTGCACGAGGCGACCCTCGCGGCGCGGCTGCTCGAGGGCATGTGCCAGCACGAGCTGGCGAACGCCGCCGGGCTGGCGGCCGCGCTGTCGGCGCACGAGGAGGAGAAGGACTCGCCGCTGCAGTGCGGCTGCGTGCTCGCCGGCGAGGTGGTCGAGCCCTACTCGGACTTGGCGACCGCGCTGCATTTGGTGGAGAGCGACGCCAACGCCGCGCTCGGCCACGCGTTGTGCGTGGGCCTGACGCGGCCAGCGCTGCTGCCCGTGGCGGCTCAGATCGCGGCGCGCGCCGAGGCAGCTCTCGAGCCTCTCGAGCCGCGGCTGCTCGACGGTGGCGATGCCGACAGCGGCGGCGGCGAGGGAGAGGCGGCGGCGGGAAGGGAGGCGGCGGCGGGAAGGGAGGCGGCGGCGACAACGGGCGATCAGGTTGACGAGGCAGCCGACGAGGCGGCCGACGAGGATCTGACGGCGCTGGACGAGCTGGAGGGTCTGGTTGGGCTGCGCGAGGCTAAGGCGCACTGCCGTTTGCTGAGGGACGCCGTCGCGCTCGAGAAGGAGCGAGGCGACGACCCGAAGCTTAAGTCGCTCTCGCTGGTGCTCACGGGGAGCCCCGGGACAGGCAAGACCGCCTTCGCCCTTCTGTACGCGCGGCTGCTGGGCGAGCTCGAGGTGCTGCCTTCCGGGCGTGTGGTGCGCGTCACCGGCGCGCAGCTGCAGGACGGCGGCGTTGAGGCGCTCGAGGAGGTGCTCAAGGGCTTCGACGAGCCGGGCGAGGGCGGGCTGCAGGTGGGTGACGTGGTCGAGGCGCGGCGCGAGGGGACGTGGGGGCACTTTGGGCGGATCGTGCGCCACGACACTTCGCCGCGCGCGCGGCCTCCGTACAAGGACTCGTACGACATCCACTTCGGAGGGCGGGTGAGGTTCGAGCTCTCGGACGGGACAAGCGTCAGCCGGCGGGACAACGACTTTGACATTGGCGTGCGTCGCAAGGACATCCGCGCGAAAGCGGAGACGGGAGGCGTCCTCATCCTCGACGACGCGCACCAGCTGAGCACGAGCGAGAAGGCAGCGAGGCAGGTGCTCTACCGCCTGACGGAGGAGATGGACGCGCGCGGCGGCCGATTCGCCGTCGTCGTGGCGGGGTACGAGAAGCAGCTCTTCACAGAGGTCTAATCAACCGCCCGTTGACCGCCAACAAACGCGAGTTATGACTACTCATCCATCCTTGATCAGGTGATGAACTTCAACAACGGCGCGCTTTCCAGCCGGCTCCGCCGCCGCTTCGCGCTGCCGGACTTTGACGACGCCGAGCTGCTGCAACTGCTGCGCAGTCAGCTCCGCACGCGCCCAAATTACCATGTCCGCGACGACAAGTACTTGAGGATTGCGACGCGGAGGCTGGGCAAGGGGCGCGGCAGCTTAGGCTTTGGGAATGCGCGCGCGGTGCAGGCCGATCTCGAGCTGGCATTCGAGCGCCAGACTGCGCGAGTCGTCGCCGAGCGCAAGGCGGGCGCCAGCCCGGATATCTTTGCGCTGGAGAGGGACGACCTGCTCGGCGAGCCGCCGAGGCCGCTCGACGCGGAGACGTGCGCGCCGCTCCGCGCTCTCCGCGAGATGGAGGGGCTCGGTGCCGTCAAGGCGTCGGTCGACGCGCTCTTGCGCCTCGCCGAGTCGAACGCGGCGCGCGAGGAGCTCGAGCTGCCGACGGCGGAGGTCTCGCTCAACCGCGTCTTCCTCGGCAACCCGGGCACGGGCAAGACGACGGTCGCGCGGCTGTACGGCCAGATTCTGAGGGAGATCGGGCTGCTCTCCGTCGGCGACGTCGTCCTCGCCACGCCGTCCGACATGATCGGCTCGGCGCTCGGCCAGTCGGAGGAGCGCACGAACGCGCTGCTTGACCAGTCCGCCGGCTGCGTGCTCGTGATCGACGAGGCGTACGGCCTCGACCCGGCGAGCGGGGGCAGCTTCGGCGGGCCGGCGGGCGGGGGGGCCGCGGGCGGGGACCCGTACAAGACCGCGGTGATCGACACGCTCGTGTCGCGCGTGACTGGCGACGTGGGCGCCGATCGCTGCGTCCTGCTGCTCGGCTACCGCAAAGAGATGGAGCGATTCCTGCGCAAGGGCAACCCCGGCCTCGCGCGCCGCTTCCAGCTGGAGAACGCGTTTGTCTTTGAGGACTACGACGATCAGGCGCTGCTGCGCATTTTGATGCGCAACGTCGCTCGCCGCGGCAAGGAGGTCGCCTTCGACACGGCCAAGCAGGTCGTCCGCCGCGACCTCGCAAAGGCTCGGATGCGGCCCAATTTTGGCAACGCGGGGGCGGTCGACAATTGCGTCTCTTCAGCGGTCGTGCGTGCCGAGGCGCGCCTCGAGGCGCTCCCGGCCGACGAGCGCGCGACGCAGGGCGAGCTGCTGCTCGCGGACTTCCTCGTCGAGAAGCCGCACGTGCGAGACCCGTCTCTCGTCTTTGAGGGCCTCATCGGCTGCGAGGCCATCCGCACGCGGCTGGCCGAGTACCAGGCCGTTTGCGCGGCGGCGAAGAGGGCGGGGCGAGACCCTATCGACGACCTCGCGCTCGTGTTCTGCTTCCAGGGCTCGCCCGGCACCGGCAAGACCACGGTGGCGCGCCGCATGGGCATGCTCTTCGAGGCGCTCGGCGTGCTCCCTTCGGCCGAGGTGGTGCAGGTCTCTGCGAGCGACTTCTCCACAGGCTTCGTCGGCCAGACCGCCGCGCGGACGCGCGACATCTTCGACTCCGCGCGCGGCGCCGTCTTATTCATCGATGAGGCGTACCGGCTCTACGATCCTCTCGGTCGGTCGTACATGCAGGAGGCGGTGGACGAGATCGTCAACCTGCTGACCGAGGAGCAGTACCGCGGCAAGCTGGTCGTCATCTTCGCGGGCTACGCCGGCCAGATGTCGCGCCTGCTCGACGAGGTGAACCCGGGCCTCAAGTCGCGCGTGTCGGACGTCATCGACTTTCCGGACTTCGCGCCTGCCGCGGCGGCAACGATGGCGGCGCAGCAGCTCGGTGAGAAGCGGCTCCAGCTGCCGGCCGGTGCCGAGAGCCTCGAGCCGTGGATGCGGCGGCTCGTCGCGGCGCCGCGCTGGGCGAACGGCCGCGACGTCGAGACGTACGTGCGGCGCGTCGCCGTCGAGTGCGCCACGCGCGAGACGGCGGTCGTGCCCGACGCGGCGCTCGACGCCGCGCTGGCGACGGTGCTGCAGATGAAGGGCCAGCCGGCGGAGGCGGAGGAGGCTGTCGCCTCGCCAGCCTCGCCGTTCATGACGGCCGGCCCCGCCGTGCAGCGGGAGCCGCGCTTCGACATCGACATCGCGAAGGCGCTGCTGGAGGCGAAGATGGACAGCGGCGACGAGGACGACCCGGCGGCGGGCGCCGACGACGACCTCGCCGAGGCGCTGCAAGAGGCGATCGTCGGCCTCGGGTACGACGAGGACGACGCGGCGCGCGACAAGCTCGAGAGGCTGCTCGCCGGCTTCGCCGACGGGAGCGCGCCCTTCCCGGACGACCTGCGCTCTCGCGTGCTCCGCCGGACCGGCGCGTCGGCAGGCGCGGTCGACGAGGCGCTCCGGCGGCAGGCCGGGCCGGTGCTGACGGCGGTGCGGTCGGCGATCGCCTACCGCAAGAAGAGAGCGGCGCAGCTCGACGAGCTCGAGGAGGGCGACAAGGAGGAGGCGATCGACGAGGAGGAGCGCATCATGGAGCGCTTGCGGCAGCGAGGGCCGTGCCCCGAGGGCTTCTCGTGGTTCCGGCAGGGGAACGGCTGGCGCTGCGGTGGGGGGAGGCACTTCGTGTACGATGACGACCCGATCCTTCGAGAGGACTAGACGGGCGGAGGAGGTGCTCGCGGGCGGCGGGGAGGCTCCCCCTCAGGCTGTACCCTCCCCCACTCTGTACTTTGGATTCGCACGCGTCTCTTTTCGCTCGCGGCGCCTGGGGTCATCCCCGAGAGCGAGACCGAGCGAGTGTACTATCTATTTGTCTGTGATGTGGTGAAATATACTCTATTGTCTGGCTTTGATTTCGCCGCGCTTACATGTACATGCACCGTAGGAGCGGGTTTTGTTGCAAAAAAGGCTCGCCCCTTTCTTTTCTTTCGCGTCTCCCGTGCCGCCCAGCGCAGACCCCAGTGTCACGTGCGAGGGGGGGGGGGGCTAGTTGTATAGGGTCGACGCTCGGTGTATCCAACTCCCGTCGGGGTTTCTCTAGCATTACGAACTAGTTTATCTCGGCTTCTCCACATGAACCAAGCATCAGCACCGTGAGGTGTGATACATTGGTGCGTAAAGGGTCAGTCTGGAGTCGCGTGCCTCCACAACGGAAGAGCTACGCAGTACCTGACATCCCCCGGGGTCTTGCCACTAAAGGCGGAGGGTTGGGACTCAAACAGCTTGGACGAACTGCAGGTCCGGAGGTAACCTCAACGTCCTGCAGCCGGCCGCGGCGCCGTAAGGGTTCGCACCTCAGACCAAGTAGAGAGAGAGGTGGAGCTCACCACACGTGGAGCACCTACCGCCGCGTAAACGACGCGGGAGTCTCCCCCGCATAAAGAGGGGGGAGAGGTAAGATGGGCCGACGACAGGACCCATTACGCGAGCAGAGGCTCGAGCTGACTTCGCCGTGAGAGCCACGGTGGATCCCATGATAGCGTGAGAGCTTAGCATGCCACCAAGGAGAGGGTGGGTGGGAACCAAAGAGAGATGGCGCAGCCGGAGGGCTGGCGCCGTCAGAGAGGATGGAGCGGCCACAGAGGTGGCGCGGCATCAGGTCCCATGAGCAGGGAGAGAGCGCAGCGAGAGCGCCGCGCATGAGGAGCAAGAGCCAAGCGCGCTCGCGAAAGTAGGCGGCGAAAGCGCGCACCAGCTGAAGTGCAAGTTTGGTGTTCACAGCAGCGGAGGCTGAGTGAAGACCGCATGCGATGTGCGCGAGGGCACACGAGAGGGACTCAGGAGAGGTATCCGTGAGTACCCTACGATAAACTAGTGGCCTACCACGAGTTGGGGCCCCCACCCCAATCGTTATCGGCGGACTAGTTTATCTCGGCTTCTCCACATGAACCAAGCATCAGCACCGTGAGGTGTGATACATTGGTGCGTAAAGGGTCAGTCTGGAGTCGCGTGCCTCCACAACGGAAGAGCTACGCAGTACCTGACATCCCAACGCAGAGTGGAGGGAGCGGGTGCAGACGGACCTCGCATCCCAATGAAGCCAGAAGAGGGGCAGATGCGCTCGTGACGAGGAGCGACCCCAGCGTGAAGCCTACATTCACGCCACGCCGCCCACGAGGCGGCACACGAGACGAGGCTCGAGAAGACGAAGAGCGAGACGAGGCTCACTCAAGGCGGCAGCAGAGACAGCCGCCCGCCACGCCACGCCGCCCCACGAGGCGGCACACGAGACGAGGCTCGAGTAGACGAAGAGCGAGACGAGGCTCACTCGAGGCGGCGGCAGAGACAGCCGCCCGCCACGCCACGCCGCCCACGAGGCGGCACACGAGACGAGGCTCGAGTAGACGAAGAGCGAGACGAGGCTCACTCGAGGCGGCGGCAGAGACAGCCGCCCGCCACGCCACGCCGCCCCACGAGGCGGCACACGAGACGAGGCTCGAGTAGACGAAGAGCGAGACGAGGCTCACACGAGGCGGCGGCAGAGACAGCCGCCCGCCACGCCACGCCGCCCACGAGGCGGCACACGAGACGAGGCTCGAGTAGACGAAGAGCGAGACGAGGCTCACACGAGGCGGCAGCAGAGACAGCCGCCCGCCACGCCACGCCGCCCACGAGGCGGCACACGAGGCGAGGCTCGAGTAGACGAAGAGCGAGACGAGGCTCACTCGAGGCGGCGGCAGAGACAGCCGCCCGCCACGCCACGCCGCCCACGAGGCGGCACACGAGGCGAGGGTCGAGTAGACGAAGAGCGAGACGAGGCTCACTCGAGGCGGCAGCAGAGACAGCCGCCCGCCACGCCACGCCGCCCACGAGGCGGCACACGAGCCGCCACGCCGCCCACGAGGCGGCACACGAGACGAGGCTCGAGGAGACGAAGAGCGAGACGAGGCTCACTCGAGGCGGCGGCAGAGACAGCCGCCCGCCACGCCACGCCGCCCACGAGGCGGCACACGAGACGAGGCTCGAGGAGACGAAGAGCGAGACGAGGCTCACTCAAGGCGGCGGCAGAGACAGCCGCCCGCCACGCCACGCCGCCCACGAGGCGGCACACGAGACGAGGCTCGGGTAGACGAAGAGCGAGACGAGGCTCACTCGAGGCGGCGGCAGAGACAGCCGCACGCCACGCCACGCCGCCCACGAGGCGGCACACGAGACGAGGCTCGAGTAGACGAAGAGCGAGACGAGGCTCACACGAGGCGGCAGCAGAGACAGCCGCCCGCCACGCCACGCCGCCCACGAGGCGGCACACGAGGCGAGGCTCGAGTAGACGAAGAGCGAGACGAGGCTCACTCGAGGCGGCGGCAGAGACAGCCGCCCGCCACGCCGCCCCACGAGGCGGCACACGAGGCGAGGCTCGAGTAGACGAAGAGCGAGACGAGGCTCACTCGAGGCGGCGGCAGAGACAGACAGCCGCCCGCCACGCCGCCCCACGAGGAGGCACACGAGACGAGGCTCGAGGAGACGAAGAGCGAGACGAGGCTCACACGAGGCGGCGGCAGAGACAGCCGCCCGCCACGCCACGCCGCCCACGAGGCGGCACACGAGACGAGGCTCGAGTAGACGAAGAGCGAGACGAGGCTCACTCGAGGCGGCAGAGACAGCCGCCCGCCACGCCACGCCGCCCACGAGGCGGCACACGAGGCGAGGCTCGAGTAGACGAAGAGCGAGACGAGGCTCACTCGAGGCGGCGGCAGAGACAGCCGCCCGCCACGCCACGCCGCCCCACGAGGCGGCACACGAGACGAGGCTCGAGTAGACGAATAGCGAGACGAGGCTCACTCGAGGCGGCAGAGACAGCCGCCCGCCACGCCACGCCGCCCCACGAGGCGGCACACGAGGCGAGGCTCGAGGAGACGAAGAGCGAGACGAGGCTCACACGAGGCGGCGGCAGAGACAGCCGCCCGCCACGCCACGCCGCCCACGAGGCGGCACACGAGACGAGGCTCGAGTAGACGAAGAGCGAGACGAGGCTCACTCGAGGCGGCAGAGACAGCCGCCCGCCACGCCACGCCGCCCACGAGGCGGCACACGAGGCGAGGCTCGAGAAGACGAAGAGCGAGACGAGGCTCACTCGAGGCGGCAGCAGAGACAGCCGCCCGCCACGCCACGCCGCCCAAGAGGCGGCACACGAGGCGAGGCTCGAGTAGACGAAGAGCGAGACGAGGCTCACACGAGGCGGCGGCAGAGACAGCCGCCCGCCACGCCACGCCGCCCACGAGGCGGCACACGAGGCGAGGCTCGAGAAGACGAAGAGCGAGACGAGGCTCACACGAGGCGGCGGCAGAGACAGCCGCCCGCCACGCCACGCCGCCCACGAGGCGGCACACGAGACGAGGCTCGAGTAGACGAAGAGCGAGACGAGGCTCACTCGAGGCGGCAGAGACAGCCGCCCGCCACGCCACGCCGCCCACGAGGCGGCACACGAGGCGAGGCTCGAGTAGACGAAGAGCGAGACGAGGCTCACTCGAGGCGGCGGCAGAGACAGCCGCCCGCCACGCCACGCCGCCCACGAGGCGGCACACGAGACGAGGCTCGAGTAGACGAAGAGCGAGACGAGGCTCACTCGAGGCGGCGGCAGAGACAGCCGCCCGCCACGCCACGCCGCCCACGAGGCGGCACACGAGACGAGGCTCGAGTAGACGAAGAGCGAGACGAGGCTCACACGAGGCGGCGGCAGAGACAGCCGCCCGCCACGCCACGCCGCCCCACGAGGCGGCACACGAGACGAGGCTCGAGTAGACGAAGAGCGAGACGAGGCTCACTCGAGGCGGCGGCAGAGACAGCCGCCCGCCACGCCACGCCGCCCAAGAGGCGGCACACGAGGCGAGGCTCGAGTAGACGAAGAGCGAGACGAGGCTCACTCGAGGCGGCGGCAGAGACAGCCGCCCGCCACGCCGTCCAAGAGGCGGCACACGAGACGAGGCTCGAGTAGACGAAGAGCGAGACGAGGCTCACACGAGGCGGCGGCAGAGACAGCCGCCCGCCACGCCACGCCGCCCACGAGGCGGCACACGAGACGAGGCTCGAGTGGACGAAGAGCGAGACGAGGCTCACTCGAGGCGGCGGCAGAGACAGCCGCCCGCCACGCCACGCCGCCAACGAGGCGGCACACGAGACGAGGCTCGAGTAGACGAAGAGCGAGACGAGGCTCACTCGAGGCGGCAGCAGAGACAGCCGCCCGCCACGCCACGCCGCCCACGAGGCGGCACACGAGACGAGGCTCGGGTAGACGAAGAGCGAGACGAGGCTCACACAAGGCGGCGGCAGAGACAGCCGCCCGCCACGCCACGCCGCCCACGAGGCGGCACACGAGACGAGGCTCGAGCAGACGAAGAGCGAGACGAGGCTCACTCGAGGCGGCGGCAGAGACAGCCGCCCGCCACGCCATGCCGCCCACGAGGCGGCACACGAGACGAGGCTCGAGTAGACGAAGAGCGCGACGAGGCTCACACGAGGCAGCGGCAGAGACAGCCGCCCGCCACGCCACGCTCCCCACAAGCGGCATACGAGGCGAGGCTCGAGTAGACGAAGAGCGAGACGAGGCTCACTCGAGGCGGCGGCAGAGACAGCCGCCCGCCACGCCACGCCGCCCAAGAGGCGGCACACGAGACGAGGCTCGAGTAGACGAAGAGCGAGACGAGGCTCACACCAGGCGGCGGCACAGACAGCCGCCCGCCCGCCACGCCGCCCACGAGGCGGCAGACGAGGCGAGGCTCGAGTAGACGAAGAGCGAGACGAGGCTCACTTGAGGCGGCGGCAGAGACAGCCGCCCGCCACGCCACGCCGCCCAAGAGGCGGCACACGAGACGAGGCTCGAGTAGACGAAGAGCGAGACGAGGCTCACTCGAGGCGGAGGCAGAGACAGCAGCCCGCCACGCCGCCCAAGAGGCGGCACACGAGACGAGGCTCGAGTAGACGAAGAGCGAGACGAGGCTCACTCGAGGCGGCGGCAGAGACAGCCGCCCGCCACGCCGCCCACGAGGGCGAACGAGGCGAGGCTTGAGCAGACAAAGAGAGCGAGACGAGGCTCACTCGAAGAGCAGCAAGCGCCGCTGCACGGGCGGAGCAAGTGCCGGAGTGCTGCCTTGGATAGAGATCTCCCAGAGCAACATGACAGCAGAGCTTATCGCCGGCGGGTCCAGAGAGAAAGGAGAAGCACGCCACGAGACGTGATGCAACAGCAGCACCAAGAGTGGGCTGTGGGGCCACCGCCCCTGGCCGCCAGGTGTACGAGGCCGTCGTGGCAGAGCTGAGGCGACCACGAGAGCGCCACAAGCGCGGCAGACGAGGCCGCCGCCCATCGTGTACTGCTGCCCAGAAACAGTCGCCAGCGACAGCAAGAATGGCGCAGACACAGATTCTGTGCCAACCAAAGAGAGATGGCGCAGCCGGAGGGCTGGCGCCGTCAGAGAGGATGGAGCGGCCACAGAGGTGGCGCGGCATCAGGTCCCATGAGCAGGGAGAGAGCGCAGCGAGAGCGCCGCGCATGAGGAGCAAGAGCCAAGCGCGCTCGCGAAAGTAGGCGGCGAAAGCGCGCACCAGCTGAAGTGCAAGTTTGGTGTTCACAGCAGCGGAGGCTGAGTGAAGACCGCATGCGATGTGCGCGAGGGCACACGAGAGGGACTCAGGAGAGGTATCCGTGAGTACCCTACGATAAACTAGTGGCCTACCACGAGTTGGGGCCCCCACCCCAATCGTTATCGGCGGAAACCGTTGGAAACAGATTTGTGAAACAAAGAATTCTTCCTCGCTGCTTGCCGCCAGCGCCTCTGCCACGGCCTTCGCCCTTTCCGCGCGGATGCATGGCCCCACGCCGCCGAACAGGCCGCGCGGCACGACGGATGGCGGCAAGACGTGTGCTGTCTGCGAGAAGCCATCGACCACGCGATGCTCAAAGTGCAAGGAGGTGATGTACTGCTCGGTTGAATGCCAGAGGCTCGGTGCGCGTGCGCCCCGCCACTGCGGCCGCACCTCCACCCCGCATGACTGCCTTGCCGACCCGGCCTTCGCTCGCGCGCAGATTGGAAGGCGGGCCACAAGCAGGTGTGCTGCAGCGGCACCAGCGCCAGCGCGCTGGCCGCAAAGTCGGCGGCCGCGGCGGCGCTTCCACCTCCGTGGGAGCCGTTCAAGCCCGACCCCGAGGTGGAGGCGCTGATTGACGAGGGCGCGGCCGCGCCCGTGACGGGGATGGCCAACGTGGGCAACACGTGCTTCCTCAACGTCGTCGTGCAGTGCCTCTTCCACGGCCCGCTCTGGCACTACATGCAGCGCGGCCTGCCGCGGCACAAGCCGCCGGCGGAGCACGAGCAGGGTTGCGGCGAGCCGGACTGCGTGATCTGCGAGCTCAACGAGCTGGTCAGGATGTACGCCAACCCGGGCGCGCGCAAGTGGATCGCGCCGCGCTCGGTCGTGCGGAAGACTTTGTCCGCGTGCGCCGGCATCGGGGTGGACTTTGGTCGGATGCACGACTCGCACGAGTTCGCCATCGCGGGCATCATCAACCGGCTGCTCAACGCCAACCTGCGCGGTGCGCCCGAGGCGAGCGGCAGCGACGAGTACGACTGCCTCGAGTGCCAGACGCTGCAGCACCACCTCTTCGGGGCTCTGCGCGCGCCGCTCCGCGAGAAGATGAGCCGAGGCCGGAGGGACGGGGCGGGCTGAGGCGGTGTGTGTGTGTGTCAGGTACGCGAGCGTGGTCACATGCGAGAGCTGCGGCCACCAGACCGGGCGCATGCAGCGAGACGCGAACGGGTTCACCCTTGCCCTCACCGGTGCTCGCGCCGCCGCGTGGCGGGAGGCGGAGGGCGAGGCTGGCGGCGTGAGGGCGGCTGTCCGCACATAGGCCGCACGCCAGAGACGCCGGAGACGGGGCTGCGCGCGTGGGTGCGCGGCGCGGCGCAGCGGGTCGGGGAGAGGGTGGGTGTGGTGCGCCGCTCCTCGCGCGGCCGTTGCCGTCGCGCCTCCCGCCGCTTGCTCACTTGGCTGCGGTGCGAGCGGCGCTGTAGGTCGAGGGGACGAGCGAGAGCGTCGAGGAGCTTCTCAAGTTCGACTTCGAAGGCGAGGCACTTCCTAGACACTGCCTAGACACTTCCTAGACTTCCTAGAGCTTCTCAAGTTCGACTTCGAAGGCGAGGCACTTCCTAGACACTGCCTAGACACTTCCTAGACTTCCTAGACTTCCTAGAGCTTCTCAAGTTCGACTTCGAAGGCGAGGCACTTCCTAGACACTGCCTAGACACTTCCTAGACTTCCTAGAGCTTCTCAAGTTCGACTTCGAAGGCGAGGCACTTCCTAGACACTGCCTAGACACTTCCTAGACTTCCTAGAGCTTCTCAAGTTCGACTTCGAAGGCGAGGCACTTCCTAGACACTGCCTAGACACTTCCTAGACTTCCTAGAGCTTCTCAAGTTCGACTTCGAAGGCGAGGCCTGGCCGAGACACAGACGAGGCCCGGCCGAGACGCGGCTGAGAAGCAGCCGAGCTGCTCACGCCTCGCCCTCCCTCCAAAGGTGAGTCGCTCGAAGACTACAAGTGCGACGGGTGCGGCAAAAAGGCGCGAGCCGATGCCCCTCCCCGCATCCGCACGGCCTGCTCGCCGCGCCTACCCCCTCCTCTCCTCTCCGCCTCCGCCTCCCTCCCGACCAACCGCTGCGCCCCCCGCTCCGCCGCCGCAGATGGACGAGATGGACGGCAAGCGGATCGTCAAGAGG